GTCCGGCCACCTGGCCGTGGCACACGACGGCAAGAAGAGGATCCACGTCTTCGGGCCGAGCGGGTTCTGCCTGCGGCGGTTCGGGGAGCGGGGGGACGCGAACAACGACATCAAGTACGCGCTCGATGTGACGGTCACGTCCGACGGACACGTGGTGGTCACCGACGGCGGGGACTGCTCCGTGAAAGCCTTCGATTCTGAGGGAAGGGGGGTCCTGGCCGTGCGGGAAGGCTTCTGCTTGCCCTGGGGCTTGGATGCCGCCGCCAAGAGCGAAGTGATCCTGACCGACTCGGAGGCTGGCGCGCTGTACCGCTTGGCGGTCGACTTCCAAAGGGGGGAATTAAAGAAGTGCCAGATGATCCGGTCCCGGCTTGTCAGCCCCAGAGCTGTCGCTGTCTGCCAGAGCTCGGGTGCTGTCGTGGTAGTAGAGCACCTGAAAGCCCGAGGTCCGAGCAAGGGCAGCACCCGAGTGACGATACTCAGTGCGGAGATGGATCTCATCGGCCAGGTGGACAGCTTCGGTCTGAACCTCGTTTTCCCCTCCAGAATATACGCTACGGCTGTGGCCTTTGACAGCGAAGGTCGTGTTATAGTAACGGATGTTTGTAGCCAGGCTGTCATATGCTTAGGGAAACCTGAGGAATTTCCCAGCTTTAACCCTCTAATTAGCCACGGGCTTTCTTACCCTGTCGGACTGACTTACACGGCAAACAATTCCCTCGTCGTTTTAGACAGCGGTGATCATTCAGTGAAAGTATATAGCTCTACCTGAGTGGGCTCAGATGCTTCCTGCTGCAGGCTCAAGCTGATTCTGGCCATAAAGCATGCGGAGTTCTGGAGTTTGTAGGAGTGGAGGGAGGAGGCGGTTGTGGGGCTCTGAGTGTGAAATCACCCTCCGACCAACACGCCGTGCTTCCTGCAAAACTTGTGTCACGTCTCTTGCCTACCTGTGGGAGAGGACCTGGCTGTTGCTGCCTATAGCCAACAACAAATCAACCAAACAAATCACTTGGCATTTTAAAACTATTCCATGTCTTGACTACCAAGTGGTTTTGGTTGTTTTTGACACGTAATCAAAGACCAGCACGTGTGAAAGTAATGCATAATTTATTTACGTTTCCCAGCACATGCTTAATTAAGTATAGGTACACTCCTGACAGAACTGTTTCCAAGAATTGTGCACAAGGAAGGAGATTGCCTTGACAGAATGATAGGAGAAATGGAAGCCTCCATTCAAGGTTGCATAAATCCAGCTAAAATCATTGTGATGGAGGAGCTACCACTAATGAGTGAGTTATGAGACATGAAATGATGTTCAAAGTCTATTTTTTTCCAGGAAAATGCATTTCTGGGGGCACTCTTTTCTCTGCTAGTTAATTCCCACCTTTATTAAGGTTCTACTGGAGCACTTTGTCTTCCTCTAAAATGCCCAAGTCTGTGTCTTTGCCTGGAGATAATATAGTGTGTGGTTACACAGCATGGGCTGCTTTGCCTAAAAGCCTCTTGAAATATTCACGTTTAGACCACAAGTGCTCCTGCATAAGTAAGTTTGAGTTGGCTCTGCTGCTAACACAGCTACATGTAGGAGGTTTTCAGCACTACCTGCCCCTGTTTTGCCATTAATATGGTGCTTTTGCACTCCCAAACCCCAGGATTCAACTGCAAATTGAAATGTTAGTGAGAGGTAAGCCTCTTTTTTTTTTTTTTTTTTAGCTTCCAAATGAGATTTTGTTGATTGTGAACACACAGGAGATTTAGATCAGTTTATATTCTCTCGTTTTACTCACAGTGATATTATATTCTCATTTATATTCTCACAGTTTTACTGTGGACATGAGTCCTTTTGCCTTATTGCACAGTGGAAATTAAAGTATATAGGACTTATTTTGAGAAGGATTTAATACCCCCACTAGAAGTCACTGCTGCATTTTTAGGCATTTATGTGCTGCTAAAATGACTACTTAGATGGTTCAGCATTAAAATGAAGTTAGATATAAATGCGAATGCTATCTGAGGTAGAGATGAGTAGGTTAAAATGGCATAAAACTTTTGGGGTAATTTCTTTTTTTTTTAGTAATTGAAATCATTAATATTAACTAATGTAATTTGAAATTCACAAGCAATCTATCAGTAATTTTTTTTTATCTGGCTTTTGGTCTGACTTCAGGGCATTCAATAACTGCATGTGTTACAGCACCAGTGATTTACCAAATACTAGCATTAAATTGGAGCAGTTTAGCCCTCTAATTCAGCCAATGTGTTAGTCTGTCTCATGTCAACATTTATATAAACAAAACAAATCTATTCATTGCAGCTATTTGTAAAGGTTAATTGAACAGTGATCTGCCAATAAAGTGTGATTTGCTTACTTCTATATTTTAATAATTTAGTGATAATTCCTCATGTTTTTTTCATCATGTGTTTCCTTGTTACAACACCATTTCTGTATTGCAGTTGCCCTGTAGATTGTTTTTTCTTCTGCAGCATATCACCTTCTGCAACGGTGATATGCTGCAGAAGTTGCTGTAGGGCCATTTTTTGCTATTGAAAATTATATGGATGTGCACAGTTGGTATTTTTCAGCCTTCTCTACTGCCTGGCCAGAGAGCAAGTGCCTTTGGAAGAAGCAGAAATCCTCCTTGGCTGTTGTGCAGTATGAGCTGTATGGCCCTGAGCAGGAGCCCAGCTGGGGGGTCAGGAAGGAAATTTACTCAGAGAAGGAGACCCCTGGATTATGTATCCCTTTCTAGACGCCAAGGAGACTCCTGCCTTTGATAGAACCAATTAGATAACACTTCCTTTGGGGGACTGCTGTGTGTCAGAATGCATGCAATGCCATCAATGCTGTATTCATACATAATTAATACTTTGTCACAGTAACACTTCCTCTGAACCATGGGCTGTGAGCTTTCATCTTCTCAAACCTTTGTGTGCACCAGGAGCTTGGTTTGCTACTAAATTAATGGATGGGAAAATTTCCTAGGACCTACTGCCATGTAGCAACTTTCTAGCAGCTGAAATGCTGATTTTTAAACATTTGACTCAGACTGTTTTAAAATCTGCAAAAGCTCCCATTGTTGCCCATTCTGTTCCTGACTCCTTTGGTAACTAGAAATCACTTGATTTTGGGTTTGTAAGCAAAATAAACTTTGGGACTTTATTCTACCTAATAGATTTTTTTTTCTTTGTGCCATCTCCTGTATCTCTGCTTTACCTACCTACTGAAAGCAAACTTCTGTGAGCAATGCAACTGTTTTCTTTTTACTCTACAGCTTGGTGCTTAGTGTTGTACAACCATTACATTCTGCATTAATTAATTTGATGCAGGTGCCTAAATTGATAAGCCATAATGAACTGTATAAAAACAAATATTAAAAATTTTGAGTTCTTTGGTGCTTAAGGGAAAATGCAGCAGTAAAGCTGAAATCTTTCTTTTGACACAAAATTTTGTGTTCTGAGAGAGGGATGGCAAATATTGAAGGGCCCATGGTTGAACTGATTCCTTAGGTTTGGGGTCTGACTGGCTGTGCTTGGAATGGGGATAGCTAGATTGTGCTTACCTTTGGAAAAGAGTGGTGGCCATTCCATTTAGAAAGGAACATAGGACTGTGTCTAGATGCTTCAGTGACAATTAGTGTTGAGTTTATTTTTTAAAAATCCATCACCTTTGCATAACTTTCTGCATCTCATGTTCTAGCCATTGGATTAAAACCAAATAAATATAATGGACACTCTTCCTTAAGTGCCATGTCTTCAGCCCCTAGTAGAGATTGCTATGTCTGTTGTACACACACATACGCACACACACACTGCAATTCCTATTTGGTTTATTTTTAAGCACTGATCTCGTGTTGCATGTAAACATATCAGGGTATGTTACAGGGTTAAGGAATTAAAGGAGTCAGAGGAGTTCCAGCAATGCATATTGAGATTATATTCTCTAACACATATATTTTTTGTTTTGCTTGTGAAGAAAATAATTTTAAATAAAGAATGTATTTTTTCCAGATCAGTGAATAAGGAAGAAAAGGTGAAAAAAAAAGTAAAATTTATTTCATTTTGGCCGTTGTCCATTTGAGCACCTGTCCATTCCCTCCAGTCACATTGCTGTGCACATCAGTTTGATCTTTATATTTTCCCAAAGCATGCATGCAACGTCCCTGTAGCATTTTTTAATATGGACTGATTTCAGGGGAAGAGGGGATCTCCTGTAATATCCAGCCCCCAAACCACTAGGAATGTTACAGAGCAGGTCCATCAAGACAATACCTATAATATAGGAGACCTTTCAATTCTGGAAGGATTGATGGAGGTCAAAAAGCAGCTTTCTTCCTTGGGACCATGGGTCACAGTGCTGTTGCACCCCACAAAGGAAGAATCCCTCCCCTCCCCTCCCCTCCCCTCTCCTCTCCTCTCCTCTCCTCTCCTCTCCTCTCCTCGTCTTTTTAACCTGACTTCTCAGAGGCTCGTCTTACACTTTACATGTCACCTGTGAGTCACAGCTTCCCTCCACAGGAGCAAAGCAAAATTACAGATATTTTTCAAGTGAGTTCTTGCTTTTCATCCAGGTATCTCAGGAGAACTGGCAGATCATTTGGAGAGCAGCAAACACTTTGATAGTGTTCCATAAACATCCAGGCTTTCTCTAAAGTGCCTCCTTTATGTAACATGACTGACTCTCCTGGACAGCTTCAAAGCTCTCTAATACTGGAGAGGTTCTCAGGGAGCAGATGATGCATTGCACTTACACCTTTTTCTCACTACTGCTTTCCAAGAGATTTAGAGATATGCCTGAACTTGGCACTCCAACCTCTCTGTGAGGCAAATACAGTACAAATGTCTTGGCCCTGCAGCTGCAGACGAGTTGAGAATCGAGGGAAGCCTTTGGCAGACTTCAGGCTAGATCTTAGAATTCCCATCAAAAGGTTACCTTAATAAAGCAGGGAGAGTCTGTGTTTAATCACCCTCTTGTCTGGGAAGTGCCTTCCTGATTTTGGAAGATGTTTTGACACTATACTGATGATCTTGTTACTAATTCCTCTGCTGTTTCCTACAAATCATGGAAATTAATACTTTTCCAAACCACAATGTATTCCTAGATAATTACTTCCAGTGTGCTCCACATAAGAGTGTGGTTTTGAAACGCTCAAATTTCACATTAAGGATAGAAAGGAGGAGATCAACTCTGAAAAGGAAAAAAATTGAATGGAAGGTGTCTGTGGCTTAAGCAGAGGGTGTACTCCACCAAGTCAGAGCACAGAGCACACCCATCATTCCAGTAAAAGGAATGCATTCTTAAGAGGTGAAGCATTTCAGCCTGGGAAATGGACAAGATGATAAGGGCTGCTGCCTTTTGATTAGTATTTACCTCTGGCAGAGGAATTAACCTGCATTTGAACAGATCTTCCAGCTACAAGTAGATACTTTTCAGATGGCAATCCTTAGGAGAGCTGTCAGTTACTTGTAGCTTTTATTATCTGTTAGTTTGTAGCAAAAATCTGGGGGTGGGGGGGAATAAAGATTTGGAACAAACTAGGCTTTTTAGGGAATTTGGTTGTTTTTAGGGAATTAGGTAATTGAATTAATACATATGTAGAATTTTCCTAAAGATCCCTCTTAATGTAGGCAGTTTTTATTCTCTGCTCACAGGTGAGCACTATGTGGGCAGAGAGTTGAGGTGAGAGAACACATCCTGCTTTCATGGAATATATTTTTTAAATCAGGAAACTATTGCTTGTCACAAGATTCCATAAAACATGGAATTTAAAATAATGATATTTTAAATACTTTAAATATCATTATATGCCTTGTAATGAATAAAGGGTAGGCAATTAGAGATCTAAAATTATAACTGAGAAAAAGAAAGAATTTACTTTGAAAAAACTCTGAATATATTAAGAAAACCAATAAACCAAAAAGAGATAAAATTTTTTTAAAATAAAATCTTGCTTTTAAAACTTCTAGTACAAAAAAAAAAAAAAAAAAAAAAAAAAGCCCTTGAAAGAACTATACCCCTACATAATCACAGGAGATAACTCTTACTGGGAATTTTTCCAAATATAAATAGGTGGAAGATAAAACCCATTTGATACTCATTTAGCATGATTTCCTGAATAATATGGACTATGGAATTTAACCAGTATTAACCAGTATTTAGTAACTACTGATCTGTACTACCAGTAAGAAACAAAGAACAATTGTGTCTTTTACTATCACAGACTAGGGCACTGCTATGAGAAGAAATATAATGTCATTAAAATATGCTTTATAAGAAATCTAGCAAAAAGAGTCAGACAGATTAAGTAATAAAATATATATAATCACTTTAATATGAAAAGGATGTGCCTGGCTGCCTTATCTGTCATTGTCCTTAATTAGGTAGGAAATGGGGCTCTTCAGTGAGTTCTCTGCCAACTTCCCCTCAACTTACAGCATGACACTATGGAGACAGAAGTATTTAAAATACGTGTATTAGTCTTTTTCTATTCCTAATATTACTTGAACTGACTTGTTTGAGTTGAGGCTTGCTCTGTCATGAGCAGTTTATCTGTGCAGTCATGAGTACTGCAAATGGAATTGTCCACATAAATAAAGGCTGCAGGACTGGGCTTGAAGTCAGGGAGATTCAGGCTAGTGCAGAGGTTTGCCCTGGAGAAGTCTTTGCAGCAGACTTTACGATGACAATTTCTGGGAATGCTGCTTTGAGGTTTTATGTGCTGAAAGTCTTGTGCATGTTTAGAATACATTATGAGCAATTATAACTTTCAGCATCAGAAATCCTTTTTGAAAGACATTTATTGTAATAGTTTAGCTTTTCTTATTTAGTCTTTCATAATATGGAACCCTTGCTTGGCTCCTAACAGTCCTTTAGACCGAGTGGAGCAATACCACACTTCCCTTTTGGCATGTGCAGTTGCTCAGTAACCAACAAGCTGGGGCAAGACCCACTTTGGACCAGCTTCAGTGCAGACCTTACACCTGAACAAGTCTTGCAGATCCTACAGAGGAGGTTTTTAGTCTTAGCCAACAGTTTAGAAAAGGTGTGGTTTTTACACTGTAGTAGAGATTACGCTGTGGGTTCTAGTCCCAAGAAGACTGTGTGAAAAGATTTCTAAGGCTGGAGGGTAGTTAGCCACTTTTCGTATTATTTTGCAATGATTGCTGCCTTTTAAAGACCAAGTGAAAAGTGCACCATTTTTTCCCTAGTATGGCAAAGTGAAATTGAAGTTACCCCAGGCCCACAATTAGAACTTTTTGTAATTTATTTTGTGATGTTCATAAAGCTGTTTAGTACTTGGATTATATTATCACTAAAATGCAGCTGATACTATATTTCACATATTTCCACCGTGTCACTGTTACTGAGATTAAAAAAAAAATTAAACCCAAACCATTTAGAAAAGTGTACCTTGAAGGCAGAAGTAAATCTTGTCTTTCTTGTATCTCTCTCTCTCTGGATAAATGAAAGCCATGCAACTGAATTATTATCAGACATCTATATCAAGCCATGGTCTTTCACCCTTTTGTTTGACTTGACTTAAACCTTAAGTCAGTGTTCTTAATGATAAGGCTAAAGTTTTGATTTCTCAATTTCAATCACATTGTTCCTATTTGTGACTTCTGCACAACCCTTAGCCATGATTCCCAGTGGGTTTAGTCTGTTCCTAAACTGTATTTCTCATTAGCTGTTGTTCACTCACACTGTGGTGTATATGTGTCCTCACCACTTTGATTTCAGAAGAAAGGTTAATTCCCCCAGAGGTTCTGTCCATGTTTAGGTTGTGCTGTGTTACTTTTCTAAAACAGCCTTTCATCTTTGCTGTCAGATTAAAGGGAGGAAACCTCAGATCACAATATGAATTGTGGGAAAGGACCTAAGTCATTCAGGGAATGCCTCTGGGAGACAGGCAATGCAAGCTTTATTACAGGAGAGAAGAGGGACTGTACAATTAAAACTGTGTGTGGACTAACATTTTTAGGAATCCTTCTACCCCAACTCCTCATGTGCAGCTCCATTTGTAATAGTGACTGTGGGAAAAATTAAATCAGAAGTCACTAACTTGCAAGTCACTGGTTTGTTGGGGATTTTTCTGTCCTCTGCAATAGCAGCAGGCTGGTCCCAGTGACCATAACACTGTATTGGATTTTGTGAGTGATTGCTATAACTGGTCTTAGTTTTCATGACAAATCAATTTCATATCCAACTGACAAGAATCTTGGAAGCTTCCATAAACCATCTGTTCTTCAATTTATATTTTTACCTGAAAAGAGCAAGCCTTTTGTAATGTGTTAAAGAAGATAAATTTTGAAGCAACATGACAACAAAGGATCCCCAGTGCACTCTTTGATAGTCTCCAATAGACAAGTGAGAGTATGATCTGTTGCTGATAATTTTGGTGGTGGTGGTAGTTTTGAGATCATTATTTTTGTATGTTTTTAACTTTGATGGTGGTGGTAGTTTTGAAATTATTGGTTTTGGTATGTTTTCTTCAGTCTGGAGAGAACTGGGAGGAGAAATGATGGGGTGTTTTGTTTTCTAAATAAAAGATTATAAGTCTTATTAAGCCCCTTAATTAGCACTTTCAGCACTTGTTTCTACCTTCTACAGGAACTGATGAAACCTGCTCAACTTAATGTGAGTCTTCTTGATGACTTCAATAGACAGCACACAGATCCAAGATCTGTGCTGAGCTGACTTCCATCTGTTTTAACAAACACAATTCCACCTCCTCTCTCAAGGCTTTGCCTCACTCAGCTTCCTTGCTTTGCCGATGTGCCTGTGTGTAGTGTTCTCCTTTCTAATCTCTTTCAAGCAAGAGCTTCTTTCCTTCTCCACACTTTATGAAGATAACACGTTTGGCTAGAGTGCTTATTTGCTGGCATTGCTAAAACATAATTGCGTAAGGAGGAATTTTGGCTTGGCCAGCATGGGTAACAGCTCAGCTTTCTTAGTAAGCAAGCCTGGTGGATGTACTCCTCCCTCCCCACCCTCCTCCTCCTCCCAGGGGCAGGGCCCCAGTTCCAAGTCTCTCCCATGGTAGCCAGCAAAGTTCAGCTTATCTCTCAAAGCAGAAAGTAAACCAGCAATGGGACTAAGTGCAGAGGGGTTAACAGGAAAGCTGCTCTTTTGCTCCAAGAGGCTGCTGCCACTAATCAGGCTGTTTATATTTATAGCTTTCCCACTCACCCCCACTGAGCATAAGGCTCACCTCTGAAGACAGAGTCTGAACACTGCTGTGTGTTTGACAGACTGCATGTAGCATCTGTTTGCTAACTGAAGAGACTTGAAGGCTACAGAATCACTTTTCCTATCTGTAGAACTAAGGCACACACCTGCTCTTAGTAAATGGATAATAATTAGTGATGCTCTGGACGATGTTTGTGAGTCAACTCCCTGCTCACAAGTGCCCTTAATCTCAATTTGGGACTTGCAGTCACAAGTGAACTGCATGGATGTGCTGGAGTGATGCTTGCATACCAGACATTCCTAATCATAAAGATGAAGAGGGGTGAGAGCTTTCTGGGTAGGGGGAATAATGGCAGGGTTGTCCTTTCCTTCAGTTCACTGGGGCCTGCCTACTGATTTAAATTGTAAATAACTTACAAACCAGCTGTGGCACTTTGTTTTCACATAGGCAAAGCATCTGATTTCTGCTAATACATAGGAGAAAACTGAAAGAAAAGAAAAAGGGAAAAATATCTACTAATTTAACATCAATCCCTTTTCGTAACTTAATAGTTATATTAACCACAGACAAGTGATGTCAGCTCCTTTGGGACCTTGTGATCTTACTGTTTAAGAGTACAAAACTATTTCCTTTTCTTTCCTTTTCCACTACCATAAAATATCATCACCATGATGTAAAGACTGTATAGAGGTACATGTCTGGTAGGGTCAGCAGGAAAGTTCCCTGCTATCATGTCACCTAACCCAATCAAGCTCACTGTTAAAATTAGCTTAATTTAGTCCTCTGGTCTTCTGTGTAAGAAGCCTTTCCTCTGGGGGTAGAAGTCAATTCATTTCCAGCCTGAGACAGAAGGATTGAGGTTGGCAGGGACCTTTGGAGCCCATCTGATCCAACTTCCCTTCCCAAGCAGGGCCACCTGCCTGCACAGGACTGTGTCCAGGTTTTTGAGTATCTGTAAGGATGAAGCCTCTACAACCTCTGTGGGCAACCTGTGCCAGTAGTCAGTCACTAGTCAGTCACTTGCACAGTGAAAAAGTGTTTCCCAGTGTTCAGAGGGAACCTCTTGTGTTTCAGTGTGTGCCCATTGCCTCCTGGCCTGTCACTGGGCACCACTGAAGAGAGCCTGGCTCCCTCTTCTTTGCACCCCTCTTCAGATGTATGTATACATTGATAAGATTCCTCCTTTTGAGTCTTCTCCATGCTAAATAGCCCCAGTTGTCTCAGCCCTTCTTCTTAGGAGAGCCTGAACCATCTTTGTGGCCCTTCACTGGACTGTCTCCATTATGTCCATGTCCCTCTTGTACCGGAGAGCCCTGAACTGCACACAGCATTTCAGGTGTGGTATCACCAGTGCTGGGGTAGGATCACCTCCCTTGACCTGCTGGCAGTGCTCCTCCTAGTGCAGCACAGAATTAAAGGACTATAAAAGAGAGTTTACTCCCATTTGTTCTCATCCTAGTGTTTTTCCTGGAACTTCAGTAGCACCATGCTTTTGACTGGCCTGAAAGAAAGCATAAACAGCCATATCCCTTCTCAGTCTTTATTTTGCTAGACTAAACAAACTGAACTTTTTTAGTCTGCTCTTCTTTGATAATGTTCACCATTCCACAGTTCTCCTAGTAACCCTTTAATATGTATGTCCTGTTTTAAATACCTCTTCCTAAACGCTGTACTGAGTTTTCCAGGTGGAATCTAAGCTATGTTTTTTTATCATATTATCTGTATCTCTTCTTTCATTGTAGGAAATAACTGAAGTGATTACTGAACTGCATAGGTTTTCATTCAGGTATTACTTGGCTGAATCCAGGATGAAGACCCACAGCCCTGCTCTCCCTGTTATAAACAAATTTAGGAATGTATTTGAGTTGGGGGTGGAGAGTTCCCTGAAGTAAAAAAGGGATGGCATGCAGATAATTAATATCAATAGGACCAAAAATGTAAATAAAGCCACTATTTCTTTCCTGGATAACTAAGGAATGTGATCTACATAGAACACAACTAGCTGTCAGAGAATGACACAAGTGTTGCTCATATCTGAGGTTATAATTGCAGGGATGTTAAATTTCCCATCATAACCAAATCCCTCCCAAGACGACATTAAGGTTCAGTTTGGATTCAGTAAAAGCTTTATACTTTTGTAGTATAGGGAAATGTATCTGAGCAATATAAAAAATTTTCTTTACTTCTCATCAGTTTCCTTGCTACCTTCCCCCCTTTTTTACTTCCCATCAGTTTCTTTGTATAGCTGCATTACTCTGCTTCTAAGCTAATTTATTTCTATTAATAGGACTTCTCATCTGTAGGTAGTAATGACCATTAAAGTTCCCACAGTAATTTGAAACTATTTTTCTGTTCTAAGTGATAGGAGATGGGGAACAGAGCTCCCTGCCCCCTCTTCTTCAGTGAGTGGAGCAAAGAGATTGTCCTCTGCAAAATGGTCATGGAGTTAAATGTAGCTGAAATTGAGCAGCTCCACTTACAGGTGGGTTAGTTTCATTTACTGCACTGATCTTGGGATGAAGTTTATAAAAGCCTATTGCAATATTGTATCAGAGGTAGGGAGAAAAAATCTGATTTTTTCAGTGAAATTGCATGTGCTATTTTTCCCCCCACAGCAAGGAACGTTTCAGCTCGATGGAGATGTGACTATGCCTGTCTTGGGAACATTCATTTGTTGTAATTGTTCACCTCTGATCCCAGTGTGAGATCTACTGTGGAGCAGCCACTGTGGGCATGGAGGCAGAGCTAGGGTCTAGCAGAGGGCATCACCCCAGTGAGGTGAAACCAATCAGGTAATTCAAAACATTTGTAAATTAGCCTGAAAGCACAGATTTAGTCTGTTCATCACAGAAAGCCAACTCTGTTCAGAGCTGAGGTAGGTTTAAACTGGAGTGCCTGTTCAAAGCTATTTACCTTATGTAGCTTTGAGCAGCACCTGTCAGGCAGGGTAATGTTTAGGTGCGTATGTTCTGCATTTGTTCTTAAGGCTGGCAGTTCAAACTGCTTCATTTTTTTTCTGAGTGTCAGAAGAGCATTTGTCACTGCAGCCCCTTTCTGGGCCCAGAGTGTTGCCATAAATATGCTGGACATAGAGGACAATTTTCATGCCTCCTGCACAGCTTTAGAGACAGTCAAAACAGATCTTTGATAAGACAGAGGTGGCAACCATCCAGCCTGACTAACATCCAGCTTGAGTTTGGAGCAAGAAGGAAGTGGAAAAGCAGCTTGAAAAGTGTCCTCATACAAGTCACTGGCTAAATACCTGCCCTCACACTCTGGTAAATTCAGTGAATCTGTCCAGTAGGGTTACTTGCAAAACCTAGTGATGTGTGACAGAAATTTGGTTCCTGGTGTGCAATAATGGGCAGACATTTGCTTCCCCAGGTGCTCTCTAATTGCACGTTATTAAATGAAAAATTCAAGTTTGCCTGCATAACAGGACACTCATTTGTGTTCTGTCACAAATATAGTCATATTTTATCCCACCCCTCCAATATGAAATATTTCTCCCTTCCATAATGGCCATGCTTCGTTCCTATGTGCTAAATGTTATTTAAAAAACTGCATGCATTATGAGCCATTCTTCTTTTTCAACAACACAAAAAGTGAACAATTTATCAATTATTTTTGTTAAAGCTACGTTTTTTTCCTAACTTAAGTGTAATATATTAGATTATCTGTTGATTTTATAATATTTATATATTAATATTACAAATATAATATATTTTTGCTCTTTTTACATCTTTCTGGCTGGATGATGCTATAATGTGTATGGGTTCAAAATAGAGTTTTTTTCTCTGTTAATTCAAATTCTAAAAAATGCTTTGTAAAATTTTGGAAATGCAAAACTCTTATTTGGGCCAGTCTTATAAAATACACTCCTTGGGTTAAATTTAGTAGTAACAACCTTCATTGTAAGCATCTCTTGGATTTCAGGTGCTGTAAAATTAAACACTTTGTTTTTCTTTTATCACTTTCAACACCAAAAGAATAGCACTGTTTTCCATGCTCCCACTGCTGCCAGCTCCTCCTCCCCTCTGGCTCCTGTGACACAAGATGAAGTTGGATGTGCCAGTGACAGCATGCATCAGTCAGGCACAGTAAGGTATGTGCTGGGGATGCTGCTGACAAGATGGATATTCTTGGCAGGCTCCGTGACATTTCTCCTTGCCCTTTGCTGAAGAAAGGAGGTCACTGGAACACCATCAGGGCTTCAGGCATCAACCTGGATGCACAGTATCACTCCCCCATTTCCATGTCATGAAGCAGAGCAATTGACCTTCCTGCTCAGAATATATGGGAAGACATGGGCAAATCACATCGAATCCTGTTACCTGTGTTATGCCTTGGAAAGATGTGGAGCAACTGAAACTTGCCAGCAAACCAAAGGAAGGAGCAATGTTTTCTTTATGCTCTTTGCTGAACTGTGGATCAACGGGCAAATAGAAATGCTCTAAGGCAAGAAAGAAGAATGAAACAGATGGAAAACAAGAAAGAGACAAAGGTTAAATCTTCACCCTAGTAAAGCTCCAAAATTCCTGTTGACTACAGTAGTAGAGAGCCAGAAAAGAAGAGAGGGTGGAGGAAAACAGGGAGAGGAAAGGGAAATCAGGGAAAGATGGCTCCAGATGATTTTATCCCCATTTTCCATCTGAGTTCCCCCCTCCCACCATCAGTCTCCACTTTCTCCAGCTCTCATCTTTTTTCATTGCTGAAGCAGTAAGCTGTCATTTCTCATCCGGTATCTCCCATCCATCCATCAGCATGTCTGGGATAGCTGGCAGCTAATTCCGATGGGTTAGCAACCCATCAGTATCCCTTGCCAGTTCCCACGGGGCATGTAAACTGATCAAGTTAACAAATTCTGACAGGTGAGAGACATTTAGCCTCAGTTGCTACCGGTAGCAAAGAGAGATGTAAAGGGTTCCATATGGTATTCAATGGGGAGATACAATGCCAGAAGAGAAACGTCTCATCGGCCTGAATTCACAGATTGTTCTTTGATCTACCTAATAATCTCATGGGGCCTCTATAACATGACCCTCTTCCTATTCTGCCCTAATGGCAAAGGGTTAGGGGAGACCAGAAATGCATTCTGCTATAAGCATTCTGCCCAGTAAGTGTGGTCAGGTCATGGTAAAAATGTTGCCAAAAACCCTTTCTTGAGAGGGCAGAAATACATAGCAGAACCAAGACAACATTTTTGGCAGCTGTTTCTCAGGGTACACTGATGTGAATGAAAGATTAAAAGTCCCCTTTCTCAACTACCTAACACTTGAATAAATCAGAATTTCACAAGAAGTGAACATTGGAAAAAACTAGGTTGCATCTGCCTTTTCAAACACTATTGCACGGCTGGCTTTTTATATGCAAATGGTGGAATATAATTCACAAGCCTATACCAGACATTCATAAAAATTTCTTCCCAAGACTCTTCCCACAGCCAAAATCATAGTGAATCTCATAAAGACTCCCTTTAGTTTCTCTTCAGCTAATGTAATTGTTTTTATGTAATCTTGCAATGATGTCGTTTTTCCACTAAGAGGTGGAAAATTGAGATGGGAGTATTTTCCCTTCCATCTGTTGGCTGTCTTCTCTTTCCCAGCAGTGTCCAAATTTCACAGAACAACTCCCTTTTTGCACAGCCATTTCAGACCTCATGCCTTGTCTTGAGCCAGCGCTTACTTTGATCTGGGTTCTTACAGTCTACAGCAGCAAATAGGATGTCTCATGTCAACATCACTCCTTTTCTTTACTCGTTGGGCCACATGCTTATGATGCATTTCATAATGAACTTCATTCCTTATGCCTGCTTCTACAGGCAAGAAGTCCATGTGCACCATCTACTCCTGCTAACATTCTCCAGATGCCCGGCTCTATTTGGTAACCTTTGTCTTCTGCTGTGCTAAGTACATGTCTCGTTTCTTTTCAGCATTCCTGTGAGTTGTGACCATTTGGGACAGCCAGGCCTCCTCCAGAAACAGTCCTCTCAGTGGCTTTGCAGCACACCTTCTGCTTGGTGTGCTGGCAGCTGGGAAGGGGTTGATCTTCTAAGCCTCCCTCCATTGTTTCCACTGCTGTTTGAAAGGTCTGCTCTTTCTCAGCGCAGCTATCTATTCATCACTGGTTGTTTAGCCCGTTCTCCCAACAGTGGTTTAGCCCCAGAGTAGACAGAGTAATCCCATTTGGTTTGAGCCTGTCTTCCATAAAGAAAATGTTACACACATTGCTGTTTTGCACTGGGATTCCTGCCAGTTAGCTGCATTGATAGTAAGGATTGATTCTTTGGAAGATATTTTACTGAAGCTAAGGAAACACTTCTGCGGAGAACAGGTGTTAACAAGACACTTTGAAAAGAGCCCTATTGCATTTTTAACTAAAAACCTTTCTTGGCTTGCCCACTGGAAGCTCAGCCATCCTCGGAGCTGTTGGTTGCTGGATAAAACACCATTGTTTGTAAGGCTTTCCCCGAATACTGAACTGGCCACCACCCTGTTCTGAGTGTTTGGGCCGGCACTCGTCAGTGGTGGCCTGTCGCTGCCTGGAAGAGCAGGACAGGTGAGTGGCCCCGGCACTTCGCAGGTTGCCCTTCATAGCCAAGGAGGTGAGGCTGGAGCCCGAGCAGGGCTCCTTCTCCATCACCTCGACGTGCTGCACCGCTTCCAGGCCTACGTTACACCCAGGTCATCCCGGCTTGTGCATGTCAAAAGAGCATCCCCTGACGTTATAACATTTTTTCCGGGACAGATTGCGGCTGTTCCTTTCATTGCCGCAAGAAAACTCGATGTGAGTGGGGCAGGCCGGTGTCTCTGCGGTGGCGGCGTACACCTGCACAAGGCAGGACGGCGGCTGTCGGGCAGGGCCCGCGGTCGGATCCCGCTCCCGCCGGCGCCGCCTTCCCGCGCAGCGCGCATCCCTCCGCGCCTGCTCCCTGAGCAGCAGCGGCCGGCCGAGGATGGGGCGGGGGGAGAGGGAGTCTCCCCACGCCCCCGCTCCGAAGGCGCTCGGGTGTTTCCGTCGCTCTCCGGCGCCATCGCCTTTCCCCGCCCTCTCGCCGCCTGCCTGGGCGTTCGCACTCCCGGCGGCGCGGCGGGAGGAGGCGGAGGCGGAAGATGGCGGTGGGGGTTGGCAGGGAGGCGGCGGCGGCAGCGGTTCTGCGAGCGAGCCCGTCGGCAGCCAGCGCCGGCGCGGCCCGCGGCTGAGCGAGGAGGCGGCTGGGGCTGCGCCGCCACCGCCCTCCCCGGCGCCGGACCCTCCTCCTCCTCTCCGCTCCTTCCCTCCCTCGCTCCCTCCCTCTGTCGCCTTCCCCGCCTGCCCCGGCCCTCCGCCCTCGCGCCCGGCCCGGCATGGACGCTGGCGCTCCGCCGTGTCGCTGCCGCCGCCGGCGCTGAGCGGGGCCGCCCGCCCGCCGCCCCCGGGAGCGGGGAAGATGTCGGACACCAAGGTGAAAGTTGCCGTCAGGGTCCGGCCCATGAACAAGAGAGGTAACCGGGGTCTGGGGGCATCTCGGGGCGGGGGCGGCTCCGGGGCGCGGCGTCCCCCCGCGTTCTGCCCGGGCTGGCGGAGGACGAGCCCCTCGCCCGCCGGCCCAGCCCCTCGCTCCCGGGGAGCCGGCGGGGGCCGAGCTGCAGCGGCGTGCCGGGAGAAGGGGGGTGCGCTCGCTCGCCCTGGCTACAGCCCCCCGCCGTGTCGCCTTGCAGAGCTGGACCTGAATACCAAGTGCATCGTGGAGATGGAGGGGAACCAGACCGTGCTTCACCCGCCGCCTTCCAACGCCAAGCAAGGAGAAAGGTAAAACCCCGAGTCGCCGTGCCCCGAGTGGAAGCCCAGTCCCGGCTCCTCCGCCTCGCCCTCGCAGACGCCTTGCTTGGCTTTGTCAGGGCAGTGGCGGGGTCCCCAGGGTGTCGCTCGGTGCTTTTCGGGGCTGCAGTGGGAAGGACAGGCGAGCGCTCACGGGGCTGCCGCGTTGGGATGGCATCCGTGGGAGGATAGGGTAGTTTCTTTACCTGGCTTCCTGGGGGAGTCGGAGGTACCCGGTATGGAGACAGAAGATCCCTGTTAGTCTTCTGGGTCTAGAAGTTGATTCTTGATTGACTACTCAGAAAAGAAACTGTTGAGTAGGTAAGGATTTAGACTGTGTGTGCTGTTTTCAGAAATTTCCCTTGCGTGTAAGCTGTTAACAACTTGGTGTAACCTGTGGGGGAACAAAAAGCAGAATCTGGTTTTTATGCTACTGATATTTTTTTTTAATATGTAACTTTGTTTACTAGGCTTTATCCTATTTGCATTTGAAAAGGCTGTAATTGCTAGATCCTTTATTAATTCAGTGTTGTTCTGTGAAGTAGCCTATGAACAATATGAGAATATGCTAAAATAATTTTGAAATCTGGCATTTAGTTGTGATGCCCCAGTAAAGAATACCGTTGGAAAAAATCCAAAATACCAATGCACTAGACTGTAAAAATAGATCAGAACAGGAAAAGATTTCTTTCCTTTGAGGGAGTGTGGGGAAAGACAGGGAGGTGCAAGGGGAATAGTTGTGTTGTATGCTCGTGTGTTCAGTTACCTTGTGTTCTTATCTGCTTGGTTACCTGTTGACTGCTCAAGTTCAATTGACCTGTTAAATGCATTTAATGCCAAGGAGTGAGAAATCATTTGAATGGGGATAGAGATTTTCAACCTAGCACCTTCCTACTACTTAAGCCTTTTAAAAAAATTAGTTTTTACTCAGTTCATAATAATTATGAAGAAAATGTAGTGTAAGAATATTATTTTTTTTGCAAAGGCAGAGTGTTATGCTTTTGTAGCTTTCCAGCAGAAAAGGCTGAGACGTTTTGTATTCTTTCATGTCCAAGGTGTGAAGGTGCTTCTCGCATTAACCCATGTACTAGAATATAGCAGTAATCACACCAGTTTATTTTAGATCCAACTTGCATTGTCTTCAGAGCCATTGTTGTGGCTAAAGTGCTGGTCTGCATCATGAAAGATATGTGTTTGTTTCCTGCTTCTTTCAAAGATCTTTGTGTGATCTTCTGTAAGTTGTGCTGCCTCTCTGGGTCTTAGCAGCTCATCTGTGAAATGGAAATCTTGGGGTTTTTTAAAAACTATTTTGTTTTAGAATGTATGTTTGTTTGTTTTTTCAATAAACAGGAGTTTATTGAAGTGTGTACATAGCTTCTGTCACAACACTGGTGTAAAAAGATTCAAAGTGAGTGGAATTGACAAGTATGAAACATAAAATATACATAGAGTTTATAAAGCAAAACCAAAAATAAGATTAAAAAGTCACTATTTCAATAGACTCAAGAGACTAAGAGCCAGGTAGTTTAATGAAGATCTGGTAATGGGGCAATTTTACTTGTTGTGCACGTTGGCCTGCAGGTATTCAGTGAGAATGTGCAGTGACTGTCTTTTGAGAGCTTGTGTGTCCTGTGTTTATTAGGCTTTAATATCGATAAAATATATAAATTTTCTTGTTGGGAACTGGCTTCTGTTTCTATGTCAGGAGCCTTATGGGTGAGCTTTGGCGCTTGTGTGCGACCTCACCGTCGGCAGCTGTGCTGGCAAGGGATCGCTGTCCTGCCTGCAGCTCAGTGTGAGGCTGGAACTTGGCTGGCTGCTAACTTGTGTGTTTGAAACAACTGCCAGATGTGTTAGTGGAAAGAACAGGCAGAAATACGGATCAGAAGTAACTCTCATTAGTGCAAACACACAGTTTGGGTGCCTGCTTAATGGCAGACGTTGTGTGTAACCTGTCAAGATGCCAAATGGGCTTTCCAGTGCCTCGTGAACATCCTCACCTTTCCTTCAGTGCTAAACTGCAGGTTTTTTTTTTACTCAATATAAATAATTTAATTTCTCATGATGAGGAATGGATTCTGTTCTTCTGTGTATACCCACCATAGACTGTCTGTATAAACTGGCTCTGAATTGCTGAGTAGTTGCTGCTTGTACTTGGATTGATGCCTTGGCAGGGTTAGAGATGTCAAACGGATTTTTGGTTTTCTTTGTGTAGCTTGTTTTTATATAGCTTAACTGGATTTTTCTTTCAGAGCAACCATGTCATTGCAAAAATGATTTAATTTGTTAGGGTGATTAATTGGTCTTTCTCTATTCTATGCATTATTTTAATATTCTGTTTAGTCTTACCTTTCCCTTTTTGCGTTTTATCTTTTTATATGGAAATTTCCCTTTTCTAGCTGAATGGAAGTACAAGTTTGTGCTGCATTTTGGAATAAGTAGCCTTCTAAAGCAAATTTGGTTTCCAGGGCTGCTTTTTTAATTCAGCTGAAGCCAAGAGACTATAGGGTGTAGGGAGTAGAATTCAAGGCTGTGCTCTTTATTTGCTTTGTTCTCTCAGATATAATTTAAAAGCTACTGACAGAATTTTCTAAAGTAAAATTAGGTAACTCTTTAATAACTATAAAATTATAAAAATTTGCTCTTGGAAGAACATCCAAGGTTAGTTACATCAGATTTTACTAGCTTTTTCTAGGCTGTACGGAGTTTTTGAATTAAATCTAAATTCAGTTGCATTATTTTAATTAATCTTTAGGCACTATTAAGGATAGTTCTGAAGGATTTTAGATGGGCAAGTAATGCTAGTTTTACAGGTGATGTAAAAGGCCTAAAATCCCAGACAGTGCTGTCATTTGTCCAACTTTCATTATGTATTAGAGGTAAAGTTGTAACCATAAATTAGAACAGGATTCTGACTGCGTCTTATAACTGCTAGACCACACAGCACTCACACGGTAACAAACACAGCTACAAAATAGTAATTGTTATTGAATGCAAGTGTTCTGTCTTTTTATAAGCAACAGGCCTGCTGTTGCCCACAGGCACATGACTTCCAGTGTTCTAAACTAATGAAGGAGGAAAACCAGAACATAGTAAAACTGAACAGTCAGTCTGAAAGGCACAGGAAAATCTTTATCGACTGAAATAATAGGAGACAGAGTTCAAAAAGGAATGGTTTTCATTAACTGCTATCAGGTATAATCTCTGGTGCTGGCAAAGTATTGGAAGTTCGTTGTTGGACTTCATACCTTTAACCCATGTTTTACTTTTACTGGTAGCAGTAGTTTCCTTTATATGTGCTGAAGTGTACTTGTGTGTTCTTTTAGTTACCACTCATGTCTCTCAGGCATTTCCTTCCCAAACCAATATAGATTGCCATTTCTTCCCAAGAAGAAAGTTTCTGGGAGCTCTGATTTTTGTCCTGTCTTTACCTAGCAGCCTGAATTTCCTTTCTCAAAGTACTCTCTTCACAGAAAAAAAACCTATTGTAACTTCTAGTCTTTTAGAAATGAGTATTATGTTTCAAAGCCAATTGAATACATCCTGTTGTCCTGCTATAAATGTTTGTATTTGGTTGTTGGCAACAAGATGCCGTATTAAAATGTAACTATGAGATAATTACAGAGCCACAGACAATCCTGCAAAATGATTGAGCAATTTTTTACAATAGAGATTTCACATCTCTATATCTACTAAAGATCTGACTTTACATTATGGATGTTGTTTTTCAGTAGGACAAATGAGGTCTTGCTGGGTTGGTTTCTCCTCTGTTTCTGTTTGTTAAAATATGTTTTCCTTCTTTCCTTCCTTTTCTTTCAGCTACACTTTCTAACACATAGGATCTGGAAGGTTTTATTTTAGCTCTCTGATAACAGTTCTTCAAGACATGATTTTTCCTTTAGTAAGCAAAATATTTGTCTTGACAGAAATAAACAAGGAACCATGGAAACAGTAGAACTGAAATGCTATTTCATCTGTAGTTTTAACTGAAACACAAATTCGTTTATTGGGCAATTCATTCCATTAGAGCACA